ACGTATTGATACTATGCCAGAGTACTTGTGCGTTTCGTAAGCAATAAGAGGTTAAGCAAACAAGAGGCAGTTATCGAGCTGATGCCAAAAATTTGCTTTCCCAAATTCCTCTGTGCTTTGGAAGTCATGCAATTCGGTTAGTTTCGGGTTGCATCTGCAATTTTTAATATCCCGGTATGGGCTACTCTTCTTTCTTGTGACTCTATAAGTAGGGAAGGTCTATACTCCATTAGTGGGGTACTCCAGTAGTAAAATATAATAATTAGTTGATTATATTGTAATGGGCTGTATTATAGCGTTTGTAATAAATTCATATGAAATAGCGTGTCCATTTTCCATCCATGCTCCGTCGCTCGTGATATCTAATTATTTTCACTTTTCCTTTTGTGGCATTAGTCATTGGTCTCGGCCGGTTTGTTTGCGTTGAATTTAGAGAAGAATATATCTTATATGTCATAATCGTAAGTTTGTTTTATGTAACGATACAGTCGTCACGTTAAACAGTTATACAAACAATGGTAGCTAACTGTTATGGTACTTGATGACGATATAGTTAAGTATCGTAAAAAGTTAGCGGTGGTTAGCGGTGTCACCAAACTGGTCTTCGGATGGATCAGCTTACAACCAGCACCAATGACTTCATGTGCCTTCTGAAGCACGGTGGAGTGCATTTTGATATTTTAAGGAACCCGTATTAATGGTCTTTCTACTTAACTTAGGATGGTCAATCATCGAACCTAACTTAGTTGAGAGCGTTCGGGATGTCCTAAGCGCCTTCTCGTTTTAAGTACGACAGAATTTCAAGAGTTCTTCACCAATTTGGTTTGGTAATGATGATTTCTGGCACTGAGACATCCGTTACTAACTGTGGGTCTCATACATAGGCTTAAAGTCTCTCAGATGTAGAGGACTATGCTTGGAAATTTTCTGCGAGATTCAATCGAAAATGTGGAGATTCGAAGATGAACCAAGGAGTCTGTGTAATTGAAGACCGAGTGCGCCATCGAAATCCTAATGCTCATCAAAACTATTGCAGAAAGCAACATCCATAATTTCTGAAAAAAAAAAAACAACGCTTTACACAGCAAAAGTATATTTACATCAGCAAATTACCTATTGTATTTTTATCAGTAACATAATTGGCCTTATTTTAATAACCTTCACAATTGCAGAATGTTATAATGTATATAAAAAGGATAAAACTTTGCTAAGTAAAGTTACCTTGGTTGTTGCTTAATGTGATCTTTGTTGCGCGGGCGTTGACTATGGCTTTTAACGAGAGTTTGAATTCAAGATGAGGTTAGCGTACTTGTAATATTTACAAGAAAAATATAATGGCACCTTTACGTGTAAAAAAATTACCATCTCATATTTACTTAGTAGATTATTGGGTAAACGAAGACCTCAATTTTAATAAAATCTATTAGAACTTTATATTGTGATAGAACATAGTTGTTAATTCAATGACTTCATAGTACTACAACAAAACATGCTCTCAGCTAAGTAATGCGTAAATCATAATTTATAATTATTCTCTCGCAACTTTGTCGTAATTTATAGTCTATATAACCCTTATATGATGTAGCTTCCCATTAGTGAAGGATTTTTAAAAGTAGTCCAATATTTTCGTAGCCTATTCACCTTTAACATTCGTTGAAGATGCTAATGAAAGGCTTAATTCATCATTTAAAAAAGTTTACTATTTAATAATGATTAAATTTATGTAATGACAGTTGCTAAAACAAAATTAACTGCCTCAGGTACTTTTTATATGGGACTCGAGCCCTTGATCTTTCACTAAAGATACCATAGAGGGAAAAAAAAAGTCTTCAAGTTCTTGTTACGATTGTTCCTAGTAACCGTTTATCAAAATAGCTGAAAAATATATAGTTACATATTCTTAAAGTATCGATATCAGTTAGTATTAGGTTTTGTATAAATTGGCATAACTAATTAGAAATACTACATTAAGGTTTAACTCCCGATGATAGAAGAAATAATTCATTCTGATTAGGAATTACTTTAAGTTAATTGCAGCCATGCGGAGCCAGGGTAGGTCAGTAGTATAAGCAATAAAAAATTATTGTGTCCCTGATATTTAAGGAATTTTATTATTATTAATGGGCGTGAACAACATCATGATCATTACCTACTTATTAAGCATGTCGTCGAGATTTTATCATTTTTATTAACCGTTTATATTTACAATGAGGTCATAAAGACGAAACATGAAAGGCATGAATGAATATAAAATAGACCCCGAAAAACAACATATTCGAAAACTGCTTTGAAATCCCAGACTTTTCTCGAATTTTTAACCACCTCCACATTTTTCATTATTGAGGCTTTTTTAGGGTTTTTGTATAAAATGTAATATATACGAAAATGAAAAAAATTACTAATATACAACAACGATAGCAAGTCATATGACGAAAATATAAAGGTCTAGTAGAGTTAAAAATGGCAACTTATAATATGATTCACCGAAATGCAATCGCCTTTCTCTCAAACATCCGGCTGATCGTTGAGTCGGATGCGAAATACGGTATTTCATGTCGAGTGCTGATTATACAATATGACATAGTGGTCACTAGAAGAATTTATCAAATGATATGAATACTAGAGTCCTGGGGACAAGTTTTACTAGCTGAAGAGCCCTGATATGAGGAATAAAGTTTATTTATGGAAAAAAAGGAGGAGCTTGATAACGTAATGGTTAGCATGCTTGGTCGACGATACAGTTGTTAAGCTACTTTCATAGGATGAGTGAGTAAATTTTTTTTATTTCGAGCTAAGCCACACTTTTGCAATTGGTCCTGGCCATATCTGCATTGAATCCGCGTGGTGGGTCATGCATGGCCCATTCTCACTATTCGATTTTAATTCGATTCGATCCATAGAGAAAGCCTGAGTTTCAGCAGTGGTTACATTAATAGGTGATGACGATGAAGAGCGATTAGCGTCAATAAAAAAGATTAGTGTTGAATAAAAAATACCAGAACTCGTATCCGCTGCTACGGTTAACCTATTTACTCTAAAGAATCAATCCAGTTGTCTTTAGGTGCGATAACTGAAAATGAATAGGAAAAATAAAATCAATAAATTTGGAGCTAGAACAGATAGGTGATTACTTAATTTATGCCACTTTTTGTATTCCGGTACATCGTTAAAATGCATCACAAGACTGTTGAGTAACAATCGACAGAATTTATCGTGAATCACCAATACGGTATGATTACAACAAACCGGAACAACTATTACCGGTCGTTATATTAATTAAACATCATTTAAATTCATGCACTGTTTCCTAATCATCCGTTAATATCAATGAATTTATTAATTATTGTTTGAATAATACTGGAATATTCAATGCACTTTATCTAAGAATTATTTAATGTTATTATAGAATTAACAAAAATAACGATTTCTATCCAGTATCTCTTAACGAAGCCAAAAGAAAAATGTAGAAATGGCTACTCGCCATGAGCTATGATCAAAAGGAATCCATATTTAACAGTCAAAGTATTTTAAACCTTCCCTCCATTCACTAACGTCAATGGTTTCACACACTATCACTAATACTTCGTGCTACTCACCTCACATAATTTCCTCTATGCGTCTATTATTGTATTGGATTAGATTAGGTAATATAATTGTGTCTTATAGTTAATATTAATTATTAGTTACTTGTAATATTGAAGTGAGCGCTGACTTCTGACACTCAGGTTATACCTAGCACAGAGGTCAGAGATTTCACATCGCCTTGTTGTATATTTATATGACAATAAAAAGTTTTATATATTATAATGTATCCAAGAAAGTAGGTCCTATTTAGTAACTTTTATATATGGGGTGGTATTTATTTATGTAATATTAATTATATTATAGTAGTACCTAGCTTGAAAGTAAACATAAAATGCGAGTTTTTTTTTGTAGATTTATAAATATGAATCGCCGACTTCTGTTGCGCGCGTGTTGTTTACAAAAACATATTAGCATAGTTATGCATCGTTAAACTTTCTTCAATATAAGAATTGCTTTTCCTCTTTTTTGAAGCCTCTTTGAAGTCGTTTTCATCTGTTTTTTTTTTGTATTCTTAGTTTCCATGCAAGGTTTTCTTTCGTTTTCGTTAATTTATATTTTGAAAAAGAAAAGGAATAACGGATCTTTTCAAAATGGTCACATTCATCAATTTGAACTGTCCAAACAATAAAGTGTCATCATTGTCAACAAGTTGTCAACGTTATGTGTTCAAAACTTTTCCCTTTTATCATTATATGTTACTTTGTTATTGTCTATTTTCACTGCCGGAACGATATTCACTTTCTCATCATCCTTTGCTCCCCACAAGACTATTACAGTTACATATTTTGTGGTCGCCACTATGGCTAAGCTTCGAGCCATAGTTTTATCTCTACGTTCATTTGTTCAAAGATTAGTTTTTATGTGACATAAGCGTCCATGTCGTTACGACAGAACTTGTTACACAGTGAAATTACCCAGTGATAATCATCACTAAATTGGTATTATTATATGCAAATCATACGAGCTCATGTCTTTCAGAGTTTAACTTGACGCTATATGGTTGTGTGTGAAAGTTAATAAGTATGTTCTTCCTTATTTTTAATATCATATACCAAATAGGCGATCTACCTATTTTAAGGTCTAAGCATAAGCAAGGATGTTCCGAGAAAGAAATCACTTTCACAGAAATTTGTTTCAAGAATTTGGTCTGTGAATTTACAAGTTTATCTCAATGTTGATAACATTAAAGATATTCATAAAATAAATTATAATTTTGGACACTATACATAAGTCTAAAGTCATATTTTTTATACCGGTTTAAGACTTTATTCTAGTTAGAGAACAATAACAACAGCCAACTTAATACTCAATGTATACAGATCTAATATCGTAGACTCCAGATACAGAGCTGATACAGACTTAGGTGAAATCTAGGACATTCTGCATCCTACACAAGTCACGTCAATGGAAAATCCAGTTTCTGACATTATATTGCACAAAGACTATGAATAGAATGAATAAACGTATCTATTTGCGCTTTTTATGGGCTTGCAATTCATTTTATTGATGTTAAAAATATCTTTAATCGAACTAGCATTACTTGATACTTCTTTATCTTGGACAAAGAATATAATGCGAACCATGGATAAGTTATTTTGATATGATGAAACCACAGAACATAGATCTATGTTCTGTGGATGAAACGTATATTGGGTATAACAAACTAAGTTATATTTTAAAGTTGATCTTTTTTTTTTCTTTCCAGGAATCGTCGATCCAACTTGCGTTCTTGAGTCAGATTTTGGATTCAAAATAAACTGCGCATTCAAGAAATCGGGTTTGTTTAGGGTACGAAATCTTGGAGGGATCAAAGCACACGCCAGTTTAGGTGAGTAATCATGCATAGTTACATTCCTAGTCATTTTATTTTTCCAATCTATTAATGTTAGCCAGCCAATTTTTATAAAATGATATTAAACAATGTAATCAATTGAGTTTTGTAGTAATTTTGTTGATAATTTAAAATATCGTGTTTGTTACTAGTTATCCTCAGTTATCCCTGTCAAATTAGTTTTTTTTTTATATGAATAGTAAATATAGGGGATATCATGTCACATTTATATTGTGTGCATCGATAACCTTGAATTTTATTTTGTTCAGACAGCTTGATTTTTATTTCTGGTTCTTGAAAATTGAATCTACTTAAACATTAATTTTAGATTTATATACAATATTTAAAAATCAATATATGAACATTGAAAAAGTTCTACAACTTACGTTAGTAAATGACCCAATAAGTTAACACATTTGATTATAATAATGTAATATTTAATACTACCCCTCCGCCAGCCGCTACCCCATGTGGAGTATTATACGAGTAATAAACCTTCCTCTTAAATCACTTTGTATAAACAGTATTAAAATCCGTTGTGTAGTTTAATAGATCTCAGCGTACAGACAGCGGGAAGCTACTTTATTTTATACTGTGTATAAGTATATAAATTTTTAATCCAGTAAAATCTTTATTGCATTTTGTACTGTAAAGCGGTATTTAAGTCATGGATTATGCGTAAACTAATTATGATGCACCACCAAATGGTGCTGAAGGTCAGACACCGCTGCGTTACGTTTGACCAATATTAACGGAACAGCTAGTCATCAATCAGAGGTGAAAGCCAACAATAGAATGTTGGTCACATTGCTTGGTCAAGTGATATGCAAATAAACGAGACCAATGTGGACTTGAAAGCCGCTCATCCGTATTGGCTCAGTTAATGATAGTCTGTTACAGTAGTAGAAATATCTATCCATAATGTCTTTCGTGTAGAATAAGTTCTTGTTACTTTCACTGTTACAAGTATAAATTTAAAATTTCCTCGACGATCATTTGCGGTATCAATATTTTTCGCTATTCCGCGACTGTCACGGGAATAGCTAGTATACAGTATAAAGCCAGCGCATATTAAGGCCTATGTTACCCTTGTATAGGTCAAGGAATTTTTAAAATGGTTCCAATAGTTTCGAAGCTTAAGCAATGCAACCTAACAATGAAATACTTCCTATAAATTATATTTAGTTTAAACTAAGTCGGTTAAACGGAGGACAATAATTTGCTATTTTTCAAAGTTAATATAGGTATTTCAAAAAGAATAAGGGAGATGAGGCATGTAAGACCACAAGATGAGAAATAAATAAAGAAATGAGTTAAACGGAATTATTAGCTTTCCTAATTAACTAAATAAAAGCAATGATTTCCCAAAACTGACAGAGTGTAAATTTTAACGTATTTGTTTTAGTTCTAAAATTTATATTTCAGGTTTTAGCTTGGGAGATGAGCTTGGTTTCGAGCAGTCCCTTACAAATTTAGACCCCAGCAGACGGCGGTCTGTGAACGTCAGGAATGGAGTACCACCTAATCTTATAGGAACCACATCGCGCCCGGCTGCTAAGCAAGAGGTGACTAATTTATAAATATACTACTCGTAGTTATGCGCCAGCGACTTATCCTATGTAGCCCTTATAAAAAAAAATAGCTTTATTACTTTAAAATCTTAACAATACAGTTGCCGGGGCTTCTCTCGAAAGTAATCCAAAGATACCTGTGTTGAGAAGCCCCGCTCTTCCTTATAATCAAACAGGTTTTTAAAGCAATTTGTGTGCATGCGTGCTTGTGTATGCGTGTGTGCGTGAGTGCGTGTGTACGTGTGTGTGTGTGTGTGTGCGTGCGAGCGTGTGCCTGTGCGTGTGCGTGTGCTTATGGAACTGTTTATTTTAAAATCGATTCATAACTTAACACGGATATAATTATAATGACAAATTGAATTACAATTGAAATTCCCTATACAAACTTCAGTCGCAATTTCATCCCTTTATTTGCTGTTTTTCAGGATAAATAAAACTTATGTTGTAGCTTCCCGTGGGTGAAGGAATTTTTAAAATCGGTCGAGTAGTTTTAAATTAACAAACATAAAAACAATGAAATCTTTCCTCTTTCTAATATTAGTTAGTATATATAGATATTGTAGAATAAATTGCTTTTGAATATGTTATCAAAATTCTTATGTCATGAATTAACAGAATAACGTAATGTCAGAATTTTTAAACCCAGTAAAAGTGAGAGAATTATCATGGGTATTATAAAATAGGCAAGTTGATTTTTACCATTAATATCTGAGAAATAATGTAGAAGTAACAGCATGTCTGCGATCAATAGTTTTGGAGATACGGTGGTATGTTTGTGGAACTGCTCATAAACGGCCGAAAACACACCATTCAAATTCTAAGAGAAGTCAAGACACTAAGTGACGTCACAAAACGTATGGGCATCCGGATAACCTTTTTATATGTTGTTATTTGTGCGTTTATGTTTTTACCTATAATGGAAGTTATAACGTTTTGTGTAACTAATTTAATGACATAATATATTTTTGAAAATTCTTGTAGTATATTTTCCCTTCTTTTTATAAGTTTTCAAAACTATATTTTACAAATATGTGTCATAAACTTATCTAATTAAATATTTGCAAGTTAAAGGGGTTCATATTATCTGAACGTATAACGAAAACTTGTATTTCCACTTGTAGGACACGAGCCTTTGTTATTACCTATTTTTCATCCGAGAGTTCTTAGAAAAAGCTTCAATTATCCTATAATAAACTCCAAACAAATTGGCCAATAAGTTATTTTGAAAGTATAAAATATATAATTTCTAGTAAACTAATATAAAAAAATATAATAAAAAATTTTTTTTTAAAAACAAGCTTTTATTTATGTGCATTTTAATGTATTTTTGTGACAGTAATTTACCTGAAAAGCTTGAAAAGCTAATGAAATTGGAAACGAGGAAAAACAAATATTTTTACGCGCTACAAGCTTTTCAAGTAATTTACTGTTACAAAAAAAAAATGATTATAAGTACTTGAAATGTTTAGAATTTCTTTATTTACGTTTTAGTGCACAAAAGCTTGTTTTTTTAAGACTCTATTTTGTTATATCTTTATTTTTACTTTTTAGTTTTGTCTTAATCACTTGTTATTCTCATAAAGACGGATCTAAAGAGCCCAAACACGATGCAGTTGCGTCATTTCATTGCTAATTTCCTATGACCATCTTCCGCCTTCATAATCATTTTAGCTTACTGAGACATCTACTCCATTGTCATCTTACTTACATATCTATGCAAAATTTCAAACCCATCGGACGTTGGGAAGTGGGTCAAATTTAAGTTGTAAAATTTGCGCACTAACTAACATACTTACAAAGTTTAATAAAAGCTTGTAACATGGTATAAATAAACTTATTTCAAATTATCAGCCTGCAATTTTATATCATTAGGAATTCAACTTTATGTACCCGATGCAATAAACAAGCAACAATATAAAGCAAGGACTTTATTGTATGTATGGTTTAGTAACTAGACTAAAATACAAGAAAAGACAGACAAATTTACAGTAATTTTAAAAATAAATTACCCAAAATATATTATTGCAATTGTCCATTTCATATGCTATATATATAAGGTTATAAATTGTTACAGAAACGCGGTAAACAAAACAGGATCATGATGCGACCCGCTGCTCCGTCATCGCGTCCCAACCACGCCGCCATGGACAAACTCAGCACTCTGCATAGAAGAATCGCCACCACTATGCAACCCATAGTCGTGCCATCCGTAGAAACGCCTAGTTTACCACCGAAGCCTACACAAGGACTTACCATGGCAAAACCGATGCCTATGGGTGTCCCACCGTTCAAACCCCTTCCGCCGAAAGAAGACACGCTAAAAGTAGTACCGATATCTACCACGACGAACACGTTTCCTCAAGTGCCGCAAGCGAAAGGACCCGGACTCGCCTATCAAAGTGAGATTTACCCACAATCACACAACCAAATATCAAAAATGGTTTCACAAATGACCGCAGTACAATACTCGCAGCCTCAACTCATCAAAATTACACCTACACCTATCATAATCCAATCGAACACTCCAAAACTTTACCCGCTACCTACCACCGTGAATCCGTTCATTCCGATGCCGGTGGCGGCACCGCCCACACAAGCTATATCTATAATACCCGCGCCCACGTTAACACAAACACATCCGCAACCTTACCGTCCTGTTTTCAACACCGTTTCAGTCCAAAATCCCATTTCTAACTTTATAGACCCCGGTCCTCAGCGAGCGCAGGAGTTGGCCGAATACGCGTACAACACTAAGAAGGTCGACGAATACAACACTATTACTGGATACGGCGATGATACCGCGCTGAAGTTCGACAAGGAGGATATAAATTCGAAGATAGTGGAGATTGCTAAAGCAGGCAACATTTCGATGGAAGCGGTCGAGGCGGCGATAGCTCTGAGACAGCAGCAGCTGCTGAGCAAGTACGCCAACATGCCGGTGCCCACCACCTCGACCACCACCACAACCACCACCACCACTACCACCGAGGTACCGTTCGTGTTCCAGCCGCAACCGGAGCCAGAGATAATAGTCGCTTCACCACAGAAACCCAAAAGGTAATTTAGAGATATATATTAAGAGAATTTAGACACTACGTACATTCATCTATTTGAATTGCGTCTAAAATAAATTTGAGTCTAAAAATAACTAACAAGAGGCTGCCGTCCATTGCTATAAAAACAACATCGAAACAGTACAAAGCTCGCTTGTGTACGCCACAGCAGCATATCAAGGCTTTGATTCTAATAATGATAACAAAATGAAGGCGTTTTAATAATAACATTTTATCGCTGCAATTTATTCACCTAACGACTAATATTACAAGTGCAAAAGCATCTTGACGAATCAAATAATGTCAGACTCTTTTGTAATTTTGCTGTGAATTTTGTGACAAGGAGACAATAATTGAATTCAAAAACATCTATATTTCTGCAATTAAGTTGATATATTGAAGATTTTTAAGTAAAATCCACTGAATGAAACTTTTTTTTTTAATATAAAACACACGAAAGAACAAATTACTAGTCAATATATTATGTTATCCGTGTTCAGTTCTTTTTATCCATAATAATTCTCTGATCATAAATAAGTACATTATTACAGAACTAATCATGCTGTTCAGAGAAAAAAGTTTTTGTACTGATTGATTGATTTAATAATCTCAATAAGGATATCTAAACCTACACTTCGGCATTTCTAATCAATAATGAAGGTAAATATGCTAACAAACGTCAATGCTAACAAACCAGATGTTTTAATTTTTATTTATTCAAAACCTTACAAGTAACTTCTTGGTTTGGTAATGACATGATATATACCCCTATTCCACATATCCCTACTGACAAATCCCCACTACCTACATGTCGTTATTTCTATTAGATCTGGTGTGTTTGTTTCTCCCGTTTTTCTTTACAGTCAAAAGACGTTTTGAAAGATTAGTAGGTAAAAAAGTATAGGATGACTCAAAAGTACATTATTTAATTATTATATTTGATAAATTTTCAATTCACAATGCTATATTGAAAACATTCTTAATGAAAAATGCTTAAAAAATCCACTTTGTCCCTGGCACTCTGAGATGGGACTCGATCCCATAACTTTTCGCAATCCGAGCGACTCCTCTAACCATTGAGCTATCCAGGACCTAGCAGGACTGACGAATTTTACCAGCACAGAAAATACACTCTTTTGTAGCGTTGTTTCGCTACAAAAGAGTGTATTTTCATCAATGTTCAGGCAATCCACCCAAACAGCCGAAAGAAATATTTAAAAAAATATTTAAACTTTCGACAAAGATGAAAATTTGTTCTTATTATTATATTTGATCCATTTTGCATTGAAAATGCTATTCTCAGAGTTGCAAGAATTTTTTTTCGATTTTTTAAGTATTTTCATTATATAAATTTTTGACTTTGAACAAACTAAAATAGGTTGCTTAAAATTCGCTTTCCTTCAGGAACCCTACAGTGGGTAAGGTGATGAATGCGCCGAGAGAGTACTACCCGGTGGGATATGAGAAGAACTTCGACGATCACTTCCAGTCCAAAGTAGACCTCCCCGAGACAGACTTCCACTGCGGCGACCAGAAGTACTTCCCCGGACTGTACGGGGACGAGGCACTGGGATGCATGGTAACACTAAACTAATCCTCTATGTTTCTTAGCTATAGCTTTAACGGCCGGTAGTAATAAATGTCAGGATGGTGAGTCACCTTCGTCTGCTGAATTTAAACAATTATTATATTGAATTGGTAACTATGATGATAGTGTTTTAAAGTTATTTAATGTTTATAATAATTTAATTTTGCTTACGAATCGTTAAAAACAAGTTTATATTTATGTTCTGTAAAGCAAATGTAATTTTGAATGAGCAAGTCCCTCGTAATGATTAATCTACCAATTTCGTGACGAATTAAAAAAAACAGTTTTAATGTGTTATAGTGTAATTAGAATTTAATTTTAATGTTCTAAATAGTCAATAAAACTGTTTTGTAATTTACCGTTGGGCACTCCTGTATAAATGTATACAGCAAATGTGCTAATATCGAGTATAGTAGTAATAGGAGACATCAGAAATGAGTCTCTTTCACCGATATTATTTTTTAAAATATTGGATAAAAGACCTTAGACTGTATCTAAGCAATAAACGTGTGTAAGGACCATGCCATGAGGTGCTTGAAATTCTGATTTTTCTTCAAGGTATTTGACGTGAAGATACAGCATAGGAAATATTCATTATCATTTACCTATTAATAACTATCCCGTCTTTCGGAGCAAAGATCTTTTCTTTGGATGGAATCGAATCAATAGTAAGAACGGACTATAGCCTATAGACCACTTCCCGCGCCGTTGGCCCACGTTTCGGCCTGCCCTGATAAAGGCAGGTATCTCTGCGAGTTGGGGGTACGTCTAAGAGATATTTGAGATGCACCCCCAGACAGGGCGAGGGCGTGCAATGCCCGACCAGCGCGAAAACTGGCTGAACTGCCCCCGACTAGAGAATGGAGATGCGCAATTGTGCATTTACAGGAGCTACAGGAGCTTTTCTACAAGAACTGAATGGTTCTTGCGAAAGTTGCTTAACTTAACAACGAACACGCTAAACACTGCGCCATCGAGTTCCTCGAGAAAATTGTTACAGAAAGATTAATTACTAATAAATAATTACAGGTATTCCACGTGTGCGCGCTGACGGATGAGGGTCTAGTGATGAAGTCATTCCTGTGTCCGGAGTCCACTTTGTTCGATCAAACCATCCTCAAGTGCAATTGGTGGTTCTACGTAGATTGTCGCAGTACTGCCAAGCTGTACGATACCAACATACCCGTCTCCAAGAGCTACCAGCTCATGAAGGCTCTGACATTTTTCTCTTCCTACAAGAAGGACGAGCAGGGGGACGGTACGTATTCATATTCTTTATTAAACGTACTGTAAAATTACTTGTATTAACTGAGGTAGTACTATAATTGTTCTATTAAAAAAAGTACTATTAAATTCTACCGTCAATGTATGAAACCTTCATACATTGACGGTAGAATTTAACATCATTTTGCTGAGTTACAATTTATTAATAAGTTTATGTTTTGCTTGGTCTCTAGTATGTTTTGTAAATAATATCAAAGATTTTTTTTTAGACAATATGTTCAATATATTTACTTTTCCAGCAAATCAACCTGCCAATCCTGAAGACGTCGAAGGAATTAAAGAAGCCATCTCCATTTTAGAAAATCAAAAACAAACTCCTAACACTCTCCAAGTTAACGACCAAAGCAATATCCAAATTATTACTCCCCAACCTATCATTGACGAAAGAAATAATCACAAAACGACATCCACTGAAAATTCTCCTGTATATCGAGCTACTAGAAACTATAATAATTCAAACAGTACCAGAAGAAGTCCTCCTAAAAACAGATCAAAGGAATCTAGTTCTGAACTAAAGCAGGATACAATTAACGCTTCAAGCTCAAAAGAGAATACAACGAAATCTGAATCTGAAAGAAAACATAGAAGAAGAATGACTTTAAAGAATACCCCAGTTACTACTAGTACTATAGCAACGCCTACTACTACGACCACTGAAAAACAATTAGACACGACTACTCCGATAATAGAAATAGTTAAGCAAGAAATACAACCAATAGAGTTTTTCAACATAGGAAATGCTCAACAAAGAAAACTCATAGAAGAATTAAAAGATTTACATAAAATAGACGAAACATTACTTTCAGAAGCTGAAAATGCAGCACCAGTAAAAAGATTTTACAGATCGAGTGCAGAAAAAGACAGCAAAGAAGTTGCTTATGTAAATAATGAGAAAGTGCAAATAGTGAGGCCTACATCTATGGCTAAGCTAGTGGGCGATTACCAAACGCCTACTGCTGTTATAGCGAAATTAGACGAAGCGGTTGTGGGAAAACCGTACTCTAGAGTTAAGAAATCACCAGTTTCTATAGTCACACCGGTGAATCACGAAAACTATAGAATTCATACGAAAGACCAGACATAAACTTTAGTCCAAGTATTAGTCAATATATTAATTTAAGTGTCATATAAAGCCTCTTGTTAACTTATTTATTCTTAGTAGACACGTAAAAGTCCTTGTGTGTGGATAATTACGGTACGCTCAATGTTTTTTATGTTTTTAGTCTAGTGGAAATCAGTCAAGTGATATTACGGTGTATGTTTTAGTGTAGAAATAAAAATTGTTTCCTAATTATTGAGTTTTCCTTTAATTAAAATAACACATTGCCGCTCACCAATTACAATATGGACGACACATTATCTTGACCTAGATTTCATGAGGCAAGACAAACATTTCTCACATAATATCGGTCCTAACATGAGGAGGCCTGCTGCAGCCGTCGCCGTCAAGATGCTCATACAAATCATTTTCAGTGCTTCTTTTTTGCTAAGTAAGGAAATCGATCGCTCTTAGCACATGAACCAATGTTCATTGACAATCGTCATCAATGCTTCTAGCGCAGTAAATAAATCACACCTGCTTCATCAGCTTAGCGAGCTGAAATAACAGAAATAACTTTATAAAAAGCCCATAAGAATTTTAATATATTAACGGTCAGTTGTCCATTAGGGTTTAATGACGCCTTTAAGCTCTAATTAATGTCATATTTGTATGGGTAATGTCACTTTAAACTAATGAAAAATTTAATGGACGTTTGTGCAACTGGCTGTAAAAGTTTTGTAACGCTGAAAACTAGAATAATTATTAGATATTATATCTCGAAAATGGTAAGCAGACTCCGGTGGTCGTATTCAATTAAACTAAAAAAGATGACGGGATAGTAATGACGGTCTGATCGTCAAAGGGATTTGGTTCGATTCCTGCTTGGAATTACTTTATATTTTCAATTCCTTAGAAATCATTTTCATACTTGAAAATATTCCGAGATAACATTATTGTAAAAAACCTCTAAAGTGTAGAGGTTTATTTTATTAACCGAATAACAATAATTAAAAGAAGAACTAGGTAGTTAAATAATTATTTCGTATTTTTACGAAATAGACCAGAGGTGCGACCGTCGGCCTCTAGCCATAGGATTCGATATGTTAGCAATATTGTGGCGATATTGTTTCATTTTACTACTTTGACTAGGTTTTTATTAACGATGAACGAATGATAAAGCATAAGGATTATGGATTAGATAGCTGTGTGACCAATTTAAGTAATTTCATCCATTATCCACCGAAAGATACGTCAAAGTAGTTAAATTAAAATAGTAATAAATAAAGTAGTAAAATTTACTCTGGGACTTACATTTCTTGCCTGCCTTTCCGAGACAACGAATCCACTTCTCACAAAAAAGCGGTCCACATGCTATACACCCAGCAGCAACTAACGCAGTGAGACAAGTCATACAAATCATTGTGTAATATTTTACAATCAATGTGATAGTTAATATGACAAGTTTGAAATAAAAAAAATCACATTAAATACAAAAAAAGAAAAGCCTCTAAATAACAAAGAAAATATTTTTGATACTAAAGAATAAGAAGACTTAATCTCCTATTCAAATAATATTGAAACATTTCTTGTGAATGTTCAAATGATATAATTCATGAAGAATTAGGGAATTGAACTTTTCCAAAAATTAATAAGGCATTTTACAATCGGGGCAAATTAAAATGGGTGGGCATGAACATTGGCGTTGAAGCAGTCTTTGTGCACAAAACGGGACACAGATCACAAGTGATGTCACGCTAACAATACTTAGCAATGACAAGCAAATCATAAGACTCGAGGAGGAATCTGAAACAAAGAAAAATTCGTGATACAGTCGATAGTTGAACAATAAATTAATTAAAGAGTAAGTTTCAATGTTATTAGTATAAAATTATTATTATAAATTAGAACAGCAATTAAATTGTTGCCTTTTGATCCTAAGGGTAACAAAATCAAATAAAAATCTTGGTTAGATTTTAATGAAAAGTTTATATCAGAAATTATGTAAATGCAAAATCTTACAGTCTTATTTTTTCTTCTTCTTTTTGTTTTTGTTTTTATCGTTATCGTTTTCGTTTTCTTTTGGGCTTTGGTTTTGAGTCAAACAGCAAATAATTCTTTCACATAATACTGGTCCACAACAAATTAAACTCAATAAGACAAGGGCAGAGCAACAGCTAATACATATCATTTTGTCTATTCAAAAGCAGTCGCAGAGGTAATACATTATCTCCAAAATAATCTTACTATTTAATAGGAAAGCCCGCAATCTGGACAAGTCGGTGTGGATGGACAAGCGCAATGAGGCTTCAACAGTTTAGCTGTACAAATTGGTACACAGATGAATAATGCAGTAGCGGTGAATATACCCAATAGCAAATCACAAATCATAGGCTCTGAAACAAAAAACAAGATGTAAATAAAATGTTATAAAAAGAAAAATTAAGCAGTTGCAGTAAATATGATGCAAGCCTCAAAATAATAAAAGAACGAATTTATAAACGCGTAAAGGAGACAAAGAATATTATTATGCTTAAGAATTCGCTATGTCATATCACTTTGAATAGGTACTAACATTGACACCACCTCTGCTTGTCCAGATTTCGAGCTAGAAATAATGTTCTTATCAACTTAAACGCCAAAAGATAATCCTGAGATCAAGATTATTCTAGCGCAATTCCACAATAATTTCACGCTCATATTGATTTTTCGCTGAAAATTTATCTTATGTTAGATGGGACACACAACAGAAAATTTGATCTTCTAAATTTAAAACCAGATCAATCACAGCTAATGTCAGTCATATGTCAGAATTAATAAACAGAAGAAAATAGGTTGTATCGAAAGCAAGTAAAAAGATATTTGGTCTTAGATGCTTATCTAAGTCAGAGGTTCCCAAACAATTTTTCTCGTAGACCCCCTGCTGCTACATTTTTACCATATTCCCAAAATTCGTCGAAAATATGAAGATCTAACGATGGAAATAGGCGTCGCGGGTGAGTTTTAACCCTAAATTCGCCTCTTTTATTTTTATTTCACGCCAACGTAGACCCCCGTTGAATACATCGTGGACCCCTGGGAGTCCATCTGGATCACTTAGGGAATCACTCTAAGGGAATAGCGCTTTTCAGGCATTTTAATTATGTCAAATCTATGAGTCAAATAGATACAAATTGAATTGAATATAACGCACAAATTTTTTATTTGTGATTTTTTTGTTGAGATTTGGCCACCTATTCCAAACACTTACATTCCCACAAAACTCAATAGATTTGCTTGATTCTGACTTGGATCATCAGAATATACAAATTCGTCAATTTTAATTACTTTAAACGTTAATGCGTTGCAAATAGAATTCAAAATTTAAATATGTGTATATTGATATATTGTATTAAGCTGACGTGCTGATGTGTGTTCTGTTAACAGCACGTTAGATTATATAAAACTGTAAAATCTCCCTGCTCTATTTTAAACCATATAATGGATCCCGGAGACGATCAAAACGACTTGACAACTCTTACGTTATTGATGGTTTTACTTGATAGGTGACTTGACGCCCATTGAAGTTGCCGTCAAGCGGGCGTTATGGCAGTGAGTAAAATACACAGGGTGAAATTTAATTACTTTTATGGTCGGGAATCGAACCCGGTCTTTTTAAAAACTAAAACTTAGGTACATACATTGTTCCTACTTAGATATCGATTGTGAAGGTTTTAAGCAGTTAATGTTACTATAAAAATGATGTCCAAAAATAAAACTAACAAAGATAGAGATAATTTTAAACACTTAAACGAATTAAGCGCTGTAATGAAAAAAGAAAATGAACAGACGTGCACTCAGTGTTTTTGTAAAAAACAAATTTTGGCTAAATTAAATCAGTTTAAAAATTTCGCGAAGTACCAGGCGCGCATAACATAGTTAGTGTAAGCGGAGTGCTGTGGAACGCCGACCGCGAGTGAGAGCGAGAGAACAACAACCGAGACGGAAGCAGCGGGCTCGCTATGTCACTCGCGCGCACTTCGTGACGTCCCCTTCGACGCTTGCCATAGTCCACAAGCGACAGCGAGAGCGGGTAATTTTTTAAGTGTGTCCCAAGTCAAAAATTTCGGATTTTTTCAACTTAACCTTCAAGAACTATGCCACGAACATTACTCCGGACGCCACCCAAACAAAAAACACCATCTAAATCTGAATCAGATATTCAACAACTGGTTGCTGAAGAAACCGTGAAATTAAATATTACCCAAAGAGCAAAGCGTAAATGTCTATCAGGGGGGTCTCAAATATTCAACAGAATGCGAGTGACAACGATGAATTTGCAAACTTTAAAAAAGAGATTAAAGACATGATTAAAGAACTATTTAGAATACACAATGGCCGACTAGACAAATTAGAAAATCATATTTTGGAGATTAAAAGTCATTATGCTGACATCAAAACAGTGAATACGGAACTTGAAAAGTCAATGTCATTTATTTCTGACAAGATATCATCTCTAGACAGCAAGATTTCAGGGTTAGAAAAAGAAAGAAATGCGATGTCAACCAAATTATCAATGCTAGAGCAACAAATGGAAATACATAATCGCAATTTAACTAAAACTTCGGTAGAAATTCGAAACGTACCTAAGAGACTGGGTGAAACTAAGTCTATGCTGTACGATACCATTAAACATTTCTCAAAACAGCTTAATATAGAAATGGAACAAATCCATATCCGTGACATAACAAGGCAGCCTTCGAAAAAAGAAAACCTAACATCAAACATTACATTAGAATTCTCAAACACACTATTGAAAACCAATTTTCTAAGCGCAGTCAAACAATTCAATAAGCAAAACCCTAAAAGCAAGGTAAACTCTACTCACTTGGATATAACAACTACTCGAGAATCACCAATTTACGTTACAGAACTTTTGACTACGCAAGCAAAAAGATTATTTTATCTCACGAGAGCATACGCAAAAACCAACGAATATAGGTTCTGCTGGACATCGAACGGCCGGATAATGTTAAAAAAGGATACGGATACTCAGACAATCATTATTAATGATGAACAACAACTGAAGCATTTACCTCAACCAAGCAAAGCATGACTACGAACGCTGAATATTATTTATACCAACTCTACTTACATAATTATCCTTTTGTTTACCTATTTTATCTTTTTTACTAACATGCTTAGAATAAGCACTCATACAACACATATACACATACATAATAACTTTCACAGAAAACCGCATCACCAACTGC